CTAACTTATCTCGTCAGGACTAAATAGACAAACAAATTCGCTTTGGGCGTATCTGTCCTCGTAATCAACTTGCGAATACACAATGGACTCAGCAAAGAAAAGCTTAATGTTAGGAGTTATTTGCTGAATGTAATAGGCAATGAACATGGATGAACAGTAGTAAACTATATAAGTCAAACAACACTTGTTTCTAATTGGTTTATTTTGTATAACCCTGCAGTCTTTCAATTTGGCTTTTATGAGTATAGTAGTTAAGGCTGCGAGTCCGGAATAGTGGAGGTACACTGCCTCGGGTTTATAAAGCAGTATTTCAGTTGCACGGATAAATCAGGGGGTTTACTGCTTAAATGAGGAAGAGCTAGTGGGAACTAATAGGATGTATTTAAATTTGGGTGAACTGCTGTAAAGAGTAATTATAAAAAAGCTCCATTTAACACGTATTTGGCTCTAATGTATGTTAAACTACAACAAGGAGAGCAAGAAATTGCACGTTCTGGCTGCGTGTAGAGGCAGTTTTATTGCCCTTGGATATTTGCCGCATTAGCATTCACAGTCCTGTTTTTTAAAGCGCTTTATCACAAGGTATTCTTTGAAGTTGTCTACTCCTTTTAGATTCAGAAACAGGTTTTCACTTCTGCTCATTGACCCTGTCCGTCACCCCCGTCCTCCCCTCCTGTTCTGTCCCTTCACCTCGCGCCCCCCAACCTCCTCCCACCCTCATATCCAACCTCACCCTCTCAGGGGGAGGTGAGTCCTTGTGGCTGGCCCCGGGCCCAGGACCATTAGCCCCAGCTTGCAGCCATGTGCTCATCACCCAGAATCATTACGGACCCAGGCAATGACACCACTCTAAGCATCATTAATGATTGATTAAGAGCCTGAGCTCAGCCCAGAACGGGTGCATTTGTCGCTGAACAGCACCCTGTAATTGGCTGTGCAAGGCTCTGCATCTGCTATTTTCCCCGATGTTTAGTGTGTGTGTATTTTTTTCTTATCAATTATGTGTCTTATCCCTCAAGGTTGAGGGTCGCAGACTCCTTTGAGTGAAACGAAGGACGCGGAGGCGACTGCAGGGAAGCGCGATGGCCGGGCGGTGGGCTCTCCGGCCCTCTCCTAATTTCACCGCTGTCTTCTTGTCCTGGTGGGAATTCTACCTGTGAACCAGGCTCTGGCTCACTTGTCTGGGTAATCTCGCCTGAGGTCGCGCCTGCAGAGGGATCTCGCCACTTCCGCAACATCCATCCCAACATCATCCTCATTCCCCCCCCCCTCACCGATGACAGCGCACAATTAGAACTCGGGTGAGACGCATTTTCCTCATGAATGCCCCTTCTGTTGTTTACCCTGTGCTCGTCTGCCGCCTCTCTTTTGCTTTGTGTCCATGTCCCATGGGTATGGGTTATTCTGCGAATGTGTACCAACAGCATCAGCAAAGGGAAAGCAGCTAATGCTGCTCTTGGGCACCATAACAGCTGGCCCACTCCAAGTCATGTGCCGCTTTGCCAATCCTCCACTGCGCATGAAATGAGGGCAGCTAATGCTCCATTGTCCGGGGTGCCAAACCCTAGCCATCTCCCACGCCATCCCGCTAAGTCCTTTAAGCGCGTATTGGGAATGAGTGGCTGCCATAATGTCCTCTGTGACATCTTTTGTCTCCTGTGATGCCAGTGAGAAGGCTCCCATGAAAAGCAGGAATTTATTGTGTCAAGCATCTGTTTTCCCAAATGAATCACCATCAGCCTGAAAGCTTTTAGTACACAGGGAATCTCAGAATAGGTTAACTTTACCAAAAAGATTTATTCCCTCATCTCACTTTCTCTCATTCCTTTTATTTAAGAAATGCTGTTTACCCCGCTGTGACTTATATTTTATTTTTCACTCTCTGTTTCCCCTTTTAATCTTGTTCCAACTGTTTTTATATCCCCCTGGGTCCCTTTCACTTCACTCCTTGGCCTCTCACCTCCTCACCCTTTTTTATAACCTCTCCCCTTTTATCTTCTTCTCCCTCTCTTTTTCCCTCCCAGGTCAAATGCAGGCCATGAACAAAACTCGGCAGTCATGGAAAAGGGCGGCACGCAATTTCTCCAACGCTTTCTCCACAACGCCATTGTGCCTGCCGCGTCGCGCTCATCCATCCTGACGGGAAAATAACGGCACACAATCACGCACCCACACCTACACCAACAAAAAGAAACTGCTCCTCCGCCCTCGTGGCAGCTCCCACAGCGCACTTCGCCGTGCATTCTCAATAACCTCTGGCTACAGGACAGGTGAAGCACCGCCGAGTCTGCACATGGAAGTGGAGGTAGATTTAAACGGGTAACTGAGCTCGACGACAAAGATTAAACCATACTGCCTCCCGTTCCTCTCAGCCTTCCTTGGAAATATCTGAATTAGTACAAGGCTCCCTATGTGCCCCCCTGGCTGGAAGGATGGGTAAGCACTGGTGAAGAACTCCGTTTCTACAACTACACCCTCTGCAGGAACGGAGTACGAGAGAAACACAGCGGTGACTACTCAAAGGTAATTATACATTTCACATGAGAGATGTCACCACGAGACAGGAAATGCCTAACTTGAAACTAAAGTAGTTAATTTTTGAGTATTTTTGATTGCCTTTAAAAGAGATCTTTACATTTAAGCTGGTAACATTAGGAAACATATGTAACAACTTTACAAAGCATCAGAAGGCTTGATAAATGACAATGTTTGTCTCTGCAATAAGCTTACCACTTCAATGCCTTAAAGGACCTATTATGCTTTTTGGGGGTTTTCCCTTTTTCTGTTTATGTGTTTGTATATATAGGAATTTTGTGTGCAGTAAATAGCCGGTAACCGGCTAAAATCCCAAAGGTCCCCCAGAGGGAGTTTCTCTCCACAACAGCTCCCCCCCCTGCTGAAACGCCTCCATTGGGGTACTTTCCAGTATAAGTTCCGATATAGTTCAGAAAAGTTCGTTCAACAACCAAAAAATCCAGACATGAATAGTTTATGAGAACCTTTCCACCCCATTTCAGTCCTGCTAGAGAGCAGATACTTTGTTGGGAGAAAAAGGTTCCCATTTCTGATTGGCTGGGCGGATTTGTCAAACACGCCCCGTAAAACTCCCAAAAGTTATTGTGAAGCCGCCATTTTATGTTCCTCGCATTAGCATTATTAGCATTAGCCAGCGGCAACAACGCAAAAGAGACTAACTTTATTGACAACACAAAATAAAACCATGGGGCGGTGGAGAATGAGGACGGTGTCGGCGTTCTGGCGGATTTACTCGGAAAGGCTTCCAGTAGAACTGCTGCGAGTCCCAGCAGCTTCTACTGAAGCCAGTCCCCAACTCCGGGGGACTCCCGGCCGGGGACGATCGGGGGTCAGTATACGCCGTGAAGTTGTTTGCGGCCTGCCAGTAAACCCAAAGCAGAAGAAGAAGAAGAAGTGACGTCAGTGGCTTCATTTGCCTAACCCTCCCTCAGGGACTTATTCCGGTGTGAACGCGATCTGCTCTTTAGTTCATCAGGACTAAAGAGTTCTGATGAACTAAGTTCTGATGAACTAAGTACGGCAAAGTACTTGGTGTGAAAGCGCCTCTTGGTTTACTTCCGTAACATAATAACATCAGCATGTAACAATTGCGCTTCTATTGGCTAGCACTCCAACACAATGTAAGTGATAGGGGCGGGACATCTAACCGGTTGACCAATCCCAACAGAGCCTGCCGTCTAACTAATCTAGACTGGGTTCTGGTTTCAGACCTGCTGCAGCACAGGCAGTATGAGAACAATTAAAAGCCTTTTTGAAGATTTAAGCATCTAAACATGTTACAGTAGAGGCACAAAATACAAATATAAAACCTGGACATGTGCACAATAGGGCCCCTTTAAGATATATAGTTAAACAGTAGTGCCTTAGTGAGTAATGGGCACTGAAGGGCTTTAAATCACCCACTGAGTTCCTGATGGACAACGTCTGCTCTCTCCACAGGACTATCTGACAGACATCATTACCAACGACAGCGTCAACTACTTCCGCATGTCTAAGAAGATGTATCCCCATCGTCCTGTCATGATGGTGCTGAGCCATGTTGCTCCTCACGGTCCAGAGGACTCGGCCCCGCAGTACAGCACCGCCTTCCCCAACGCATCACAGCACATGTAAGAAAATGCTTTAAAATCAGCGACATCCAACCAATCCGAGAGTACTCCAAATGTTTTGGGAGACTACTGATTTGGGTCGTATTAAACAAAGCAGTCGGACACAATGGCCATTTTTTTTTTTACATTTTCACATCCACAGCTATTTGCTCGCATGACTCATCCACACACTTCCTTCTCATTTGACCCAGAACGACACAAATTCCATAATCTCAGCTCGATCTTATCTCTCACCGCCTGCAGTGTGCTCTTGGCAGCTGAGCCCTCTCCACTCACTGCCAGCACTTTGCTCCAGTTTATTTGGCTGTGTGTTGTTCACATTAGTGCTACCCCTGTAATGAGTCGGGCTAATTTGCACCACTTTGTCAGCAGTGATCAAAGAGGCATGAATGATGTATGTTTAATGCATAGGTAATGATATTGGGCGTACACAAAAACATTTGATCCTTTGTCCTACTGGCCCCCTAGGTTTCTGATTGGCTGTCTTGTGCCGCTTGCTAATAGCGGGGCTGATATTGGCCTCCAGAGACAGATCCAAGGCCAGTAATGAGACTGCTATTTCTGCCCCCTCCCTCCAAACCCACTAACACCCTTCTCCTGCTTCATATAATCCCCTCCAGCATCATTAACCTCTGCCACGCAGGCCCTAACACACCGAATATTGTAAAATTCAGCCCCAGTGTCTTTGTACAAACTTTTAATTGCTCTTTCTCCATAAATTTGCTTCCCCCTCGGGCAGTGTAAGCACTTCCGTGGCTATTTTTCTCACCCCATCTCCATCTGCCCTTATCAAGCAAATGAAGAGAGAGGCAGTAAAAGTGCTCACTCTTCTGGTGATAAACCTTCTCCTCACCTTGGCTCCTCGCAGGGACGTCTTTACACTGAATTAGAGCTGCCACTGTGGGCCAAGCTGTGAGACATTAGCATTTCTTAAAGTCAAATCGATACACATTAAACGTTAAATATCTTTTCTTCAAGGATCCCATTAGCTATTTAGGAGTGTTTATTCTCAAATAATTAAAGTTCCATTTGGCTCGGAGTTCATTATTGATCAGACCGTGCTCAATGTACAGGCCTATCGATTGCAGCGCTTTGCATTTCACAAGGTTTCTGTAACTTCCATTTTAGCTTTGTAGTTTTACTGATACTTTAGAAAGAAACGAATAGGACACATAAGCAGACGCAGGCGGTGAACATTGCTGTAAAAACACTGGTAAACTTTCAATAATTTAAATCTATAGAAAATGAAAATCGCATGTGTAAAGATGGGAGAAAAAGCAAACTTATGTGGGGCTACTGTGACATACTGAAATGAGGGCTGTGCTTTATGTATCCTTAGGGATTTAAAAGAAGCACTAAAAATGTAACTTTATTTCCCAGCGCAGTGAGTTCTTCGTGGTTTAGTTTAAAGTTTTTCTGCCTCCTTCAGAACTCCAAGCTACAACTACGCCCCGAACCTCGACAAACACTGGATCCTCCGCTACACTGGAGCCATGAAGCCCGTCCACATGCAGTTCACCAACATGCTGCAGCGCCGCAGGATGCAGACCCTGCTGTCTGTGGACGACAGTGTGGAGAAGGTAGCTAAAGCACACTGATACAGTATATGCTTACACACACACACACACACACACACACACACACACACACACACACACACACACACACACACACACACACACACACACACACACATTTATTCTGAAAGTCTCAAGTCCTGGGAGATCTGTGCCTGTTCTGACTGCGGCTGTATAATGTATTCACTGACACACTTGGTAAATTGTTCAATCTCTATTTCTTGGAACTGGCACAGGAGACTTTTTAAACATCGAGTAAAACTTTTCCACACAGTGTGAAACTTAAATGAATTCTATCCTCCTCCGTAGCTGTACAACATGTTGGTGGAGACGGGGGAGCTGGACAACACCTACGTCATTTACACCTCAGACCACGGCTACCATATCGGCCAGTTTGGTCTGGTGAAGGGCAAATCTATGCCTTATGAGTTCGATATCCGCGTTCCCTTCTACGTACGAGGACCTAATGTGGAGCAAGGTGCCATGTGAGTGACACAGACTCTTACTTTCATGTTATTAATTCATTATTCTGATGTCTAGATGCTGTTTTTCAATATTATTTATGTTAAATTACATTCTTCAACCATTCTTGCTTCCCTGCAGAAATCCTCAAATAGTATTAAACGTCGACTTGGCGCCGACTATGCTGGACATGGCTGGTGTTGATATCCCTGCAGAAATGGACGGAAAATCTATCCTCAAGCTGCTGGACACAGACAGGCCAGTCAACAGGTGACACAACAGTTACTTTACTCAGTGTGCTGGCATTTACAGACAATTCAAGAAGGGTATTCATAATGCTGCAGATTAAATGGAAATATGCCAAAAAGAAATTTTCCCGGACTTTGTAGAGTTTTAGTACTAAAGTTGAACTTTCTGTTCTTGATGTTTTTTTGGACACGATGACATCTACAACCCAAATATGAATGTGGAACGCCACATTCCTTTCAGCACTGCGCTCGGATGACATTTTAAAACGAAATGCGAGTTTGTTCAGGGCAAATATCACTGAGTGGTCTGACAGGGTTTTCATTTTCTTTTCACTCACTTTCCAGGTTCCAGGTGAACAAGAAGAGTAAACCATGGAGAGATTCTTTCCTGGTGGAGAGAGGGTATGTTTTATTGATTGACCTTTCGCAGGACATGTTCTCAGTCTCGACTCTTACTTGTCTTTCTGTCGGTTGAAAATAAATAATTTCCTGTACTTTTCAGGAAGCTTCCACACAAGAGACCTGATGGGAAGGAAATGGCCCAGGAGCAGAATTTCTTGCCTAAATACCAGCGTGTGAAGGACCTGTGCCAGAAGACAGAGTACCAGACGTCCTGCCAGCAGCCAGGACAGGTACCTGACCGGCAGGAGCTCAGAAAGAGAGCTTTTTAAAGATTCAGGGATACAACGTGGAGTGTAGCTCATACAGGGGATCATTTGAAATCTTGTTTGACAATTTACTGAGTATAATATGCAGTCATTGCGCTCTCAGGGTTCAATTTGACATCAAAGTCTCTTTTTAATCCTCCAGAATGAAGTGTGCAGATGTGTGTTAAAAGCCTTCTGATTTTTTATAAAAAAGAGAAAGACTCTCAAATTAGATCATTTTAATAATGTTGATCTGGAACATTTCTTGCATTTTCATAGCACTGTCTGTGTGTTGTAATTTGAGCACAACGATGCTAAGAACCATTCAAACAGATCTTTTTCAAGTGCGGTTTGAGGTACATACCCATAGTTAGTTTATTACCTGCAGTAGATTGTGGCCAGCATACACCTGGTCTGGAGAAACAAACATGATTACCATCAAGGACTGTACAGCTGTGGATGGGGGCAACTGCTAAATATATTTTAGCCACCAAAGCTGCAGACTGATGGGGAACTGAAGAAGTGCTTTTTTGCTTTTTTATGACTCTTTTCTTTGTGTTATTGTATGACTTTGGTGGACACAAACTAACCATTTAAAGGTGGGGTAGGTAATTCACTTCAGAAACACTTGTTGTTATATTCCATGGAATGCTCTTAACATCCCGATAGCAATGAATACATTAAATGCTTTGACAATAAATACATAAACAAAATGTCATCTGTGGAAGCCGTGGCGCTGTCAAAAGCACGACCAATCATCTGAGCCGGCCCGGCTAAAATAACTGGATGGCCTACCTTCCTGTCAGCCTTCGTGCACAAACTTATCTCGTGCCCTCATTGGTCATGTGTGCGTCCGTGTGTGTTGGAGGAGGGGCTCTGTAAGGAAGTCTGAAAGAAGGGGCAGATTTCCCGGTTGTGTATTTTCAAATTCTAGCGCACTCGAGCTGGTTTCTCCATTCTTACCGTGTTAGAGTTTTTCATGTAAGTAATAGTATGCGATTATGTGCAATTGGGGTAGCCCCGTCAAGTTGGGCAGTACCCGACTATTGCTTACAGCGACTATTCGTTGTTGATAAAAATCTCTTCACTGCACCATATAAAACTCCAGTTTACTATGTTACCACAACACGGTTTATAACAAGGGTTTGTAATCTGAAAATTTACACAAAACAGTTGAATTTGGAGTTACCGTGAATGTTGCATCTGAAGTTATTTGTCTTAATTCGAAAAATCTACCGTCTCGAAAACAAAAATAGGAATTTCCA